GGTACAAGAAAGGAACCTTTACTTCAGTTCTTCGTGAAGAATCAAAATTCCCACTCCATCAGATCAATCATGTTAATAGTAGTGTTCCAAATGGCAGAAGAAGGAAACCGTTACTTCAATTCTTCAAGAAGAATCAAAATGCCCACCCCCTCAGAACAAAAATGTCAATGCTAGTGTTCCAACAATGTTTGAAGGAAGTTTAGAAGTCAAACTTCCGACTTATGGACGGATGAAGCCACAGTGGTGAGAAGAGCCAGAGAAGAGAAAGAGCCAAAGAGATCCATCAGAGAAGAGAGCGCCAGGAGAAAGTTGATCAGCGCGCGTAAAGGCAGAAAAATCGCGAAGCAATGTGTTTTTCCAATGTTTTGAGGCTGCGGAGGGTCGAAAAGTAGGCTCGCTAAAGCGGCGGGTGCCGAGTCATCTGATCGGATGAGAGATCAAAAATTGCAAGCCGCTGTGGCGCTAAGCGAATTTTGAAATCAAGATGACAAAAGCGCTTCAGGTTCGGAGCACTTTGGGAAGTTGAGATGTTCAAAAAGTGCACGCCGCTGTGGCACGAAGCACATTTCGAAGTCAAAACGTGAAAAATGCCTGAGGCCCGGAGCGCTCTTCGAAGTGGAGCTGTCGAATCAGTGCACGCCGTGGTGGCGGGAAGCACATTTCGAAATCAAAATGTGCAAAGCACACCACGTGCGGACATTTTTTGGAAGTTGAGATGTTCAAAAAGTGCACGCACGGCGTATATTCGCGCGAAGCACATTGGCAAGTGACAAGCGTTAAAAACTGACGGTCTCGGACCCCTTTTTGAAGCTAAGAGGTTTCGCGTGGCAGGCAAAACGTGGGGTTTTGTGGCAGTTGGAAAAACGATGGCAGGCGTGGGACGCTTGAAGAGGATCTGCAAAGATGGATTTCGCATGGCAGGCCCGTGCCAGAGATATCTGCATCAGAGATGTTCGGAGGTCAGGGCGTTGATTTCCTGAGGGCGGTTGCATTTTGGAACATCAAACGCTCAGGTTCACTACGCGGATTTTGCGCTACAGGTGCAGCACTTCGTATGACTTGGCTTCACTTCTTCGCGGCGAGCGCAGTACTCTAGGCAGATGGGATGGAAAAAATCGCTTTGGTACGAGGCCGTCAGCTGTGCGCCTAACTTTTCATTTTTCATTAAAGTCTCGCAGAATTTCTTCGTTTTTGACGTTGCCCAAGTAAAATTGAGCAGGACTCGCAGAATTTCTTCGTTTTGGAGCTCTGAATTTCCACTTTTGGAGGAAGTCTCGCAAAATTGCTTCGTTAGTTTTTTCATGTCAGATATAGAGAGATAGATAGACAGATAGCAAGATTCATAGAGGCATAGAGACAAAGAGATAGAGAGAGAGAGAGATAGATTCGATGGATGGATGGATGGATGGGTGGATGGATGGATGGATAGATGGACAGATGGACAGATGGAAAGCTGGATAGATGGACAGATGGATAGATGGATAGATGGATAGTTGGGTGGACTAATAGATGGATAGATAGATAGATAGATAGATAGATAGGTAGATAGGTAGATAGGTAGATAGGTAGATAGGTAGATAGGTAGATAGGTAGATAGGTAGATAGGTAGATAGGTAGATAGGTAGATAGGTAGATAGATAGGTAGATAAATAGGTAGATAGATACATATATAGATAGATAGATAGATAGATAGATATGGACAGATGAATAGATGGATAGTTGGGTGGACTACTAGATGGATGCATGATGGATGGATGGATGGATGGATGGATGGATGCATGCATGCATGGATGGATGGATGGATGGATGGATGGATGGAGGTATAGATAGATAGATTAGATAGATAGATAGATAGATAGATAGATGGAGAGATGGAGAGATGGATAGAAGGATAGATGGAGAGATGGATAGAAGGATAGACGGATAGATGGTTAGATAGATAGACAGATAGATGAATGGAAAGATGGATAGATGGAAAGATGGATAGATGGATAAAGAGATAGATAGATAGGCAGATAGATCGATCGATTGATCGATGGGTAGATCGATAGATAGGTCGATAGGTAGCAGATAGATAGTTAAAAAGTAGAAAGATAAAAACTGGAGAGGGAACGAGAGAGATATAGAAAACAACAAATCAGAGCCTTAACCACCTTTCGGTCCATCAGTGGGTTCGCTCTGTCATCCATGTGTCACAACAACCAAACTCTCCAAAAAAAATCTGTCTTTGAAACCTCCGCCACCGCCTTGTGCGGCCCTACTGGTCTTACTATCGTCAAACGGTAGAAGAAGGGAACCGTTACTTGAACTAATAAAAGGCGCACGCAGATTTCACAGAAAAACGCGTTGCCCACGTCAAGAAGTCCATGACCGAGGGTTCAGGAAGGAAGAAGCATCATCAGAGACAATCATTCAAATATATGGTAAATACAATGGTTTGAAGGCGTTGGGCACTACGCCATTCACAGGCTGCGGGACAACCCCAAATCTTGGCCGTATACATGAGAGCTGCATGAGATTTGTGATGACCTGGTCAAGGTGCTGCGGATCCAACTCTGTGCAGAACGGCGGAAACGCCTGCAATTGCGTCTGGCACTTTCCATGGACAAAACTTATCCAAAACTTTCAGTGGAAATTTTTGACAATTCCAATGTTTTCCACCAGTTGGGCTTGGCACCACAATTCCGGCCTCCTGCCTGATCAATTTTCAGCCAAGCTCAGCATGCTTGGAAATGTGTGTCAAGAGTCCAAAGTGCCGAGCCAAGGCCAGCGCATTGCGCAGCTGGACCAATATGCAGAGAAGGCTCTCCAAGCATTGCGCAGCAACTCTGATTAACAGTTTTTTTGGTCTTCAGACAGTGTTCTAGTTTCCTCATTGGCACGTCACAGAAATGCAGTCCGTGCCTTTCATCATATAATCGCAGCCGCCTGCATGCAATGAATGATCAGAAGGACAAACATGGTTCCTTGCTCCCCTGGAAACTGACCTGCACCCACAATCTGGTTCAATTATTCAAGCCTTGGAACATGTCCTGCAGGTGGATGAAGAAAACGACAAGATGACAAAAAAGCCGCTTGATGGAACGACAGAGATAGAACCTGGAACGTTAATGGCGGCTACTGTTCTAATAGTAAACCATTCCCAACTCAAGCAGAAATGCGTTGGAAATCATGACATTCCCAGTTGCAAGTTTATTACATATGGTTTTATGAATCAATCATGTCGAGTCGAATCTTATCCCAGTTTGGTCCCGGTTTGGTCCAAATACTTTTGAGGACAGTGTTAAAATATGGTTTGGTTGCATAACTCTTTGCCATGCTTCATCTTTGATGCCTCTGTGAATATGAATGTCACTCAGCTGCATTTGTCGCTTCATTACTGCAACTTGGATGCACATCAGTCTGCTTTACAGCTCATTGGCCCGCCTGCTGAGATTCACTGACTTGGGTCAAAGCTTGAAAGAGCGTCAAACTCAGCGCTGCGTGTCCTGTGTGGTTCACTGCTGGGTGTACAGAAATAGATAGATTTGCATTGCAACTTCTGCTCAAAAGGCAGGTTGAATGTGTTACCACTAGGAAGGTGTTTTGTTTCGGCTTCCAGGAGGGACTTGTTCAATGTCACAGTCCAAGTGTTTTTATGGTTCCAAGTTCTCTTGTCCCGTCAATTTTCCGAAGGACCAACAGTTAATGTAACATCATGTTGCTTCACAAGACCTTTTGCACTGTCCTGCACGAAATGATGTGCACAGGACTCGTGCAGAGGTTGAGCGATACAAGAAGGACAGCCGGGGAAGATTGGTGAGGCAAGCATCAAGATGAATGGACGGAGAAGGCACTACGATTCCAGTACAAAAAAGCACAGCCTCTTGTGGAAAGCAGTGTTGCTGCCAATATTTTCTTTCTATTTTTCAGACTGAATGCATCAAGTCATTTGATTTTTCTGGAACTGGAGCAACATGAAAGGAGATAGAAGAGATGAAGTGGGAAAACTCAGCTCGGACCAGGTTTTGACATAGAGTCCTGCTGGTTAGTGTCAGAAGAGGCGTAAGGACGGCTCTTCCGTAGGAAGGAAAACATGTGCTGCCACCCATCCGCTTGATTTGGCCACAGTATGAGTTTCTGCTTCGATAAATGATGTCAACTTCAATTTCAATCATAGATATGTGTGTAGAATTTAGAATTCTCTCACATGAAGGTTAAACCATGCCATTCCGTGCTGAGCCCTATTATTCTGGCAACCTCGTCGTTCTGATGCTAGAATTGTAAATAAATAACATGCGCATCTTAACACTGTCGCGATCACCTAGACTGGATGAAAGTGCAGCCTCGTTTCCCTTGATGATGCATTCCACTATTCTGTCAACATTTAAGGGGCAGGAATGCTACAGACACAGTCCATGATGTTCTTGTCTTGACGCTGTTGTGTGATATCACATGCCACTGTTGATGTTGTTGGGCAAGCCACCCAGAGCGACATGCTATGCGAAGAAGGACGCCGCTTGACGTGGCACGTCCATAGATTCCACTCGGAATTGTTGATTGGACGTGGCACATCGCTTGAAGTGGCTCCAACTTGTCAAGTCAGTTGCCGGATCGTCCTTTGCACAGACTTTGGATAACATTTGGACAAACTGTGACAAACTTAAAAGGGAAGATGGGTGAAGTGTCAGGAGTTAGCTGTCAGCAAGGTCGGGCAAGAAACGGAAGGACGCTGCGGCCAAGGCAGCTCAAGAGACTCCTGAGGTGCCGGAAAACCTGAAACCACAGTGATATCAAGACTGATGTGCATCACTGCATATCTGCAATGTTGCGTGGGTCAGTACTGATATTTGTTACTTCCTTCACGCTGATTTTGGAGAATTTGGTCCCCAAATCAAATGGAAGTCATGATCATGATGATATTGGCTCTCAGCGGCGGCAGCTCTCGAGAAAGTCAATTTGAAGCCTGAAACCTTGTCGCTTCATGGGAGGTGCCGGCTGAAGAAGTACCTCCGGAGCAGGCGTAGCAGTTGCGCTCTTCTGTATCAGTAGTAGTGGTGGCTTCATAAGCTCGAAACTTGAAACATCATGAAGGAACTAGAACCTGTCAATATCTATCAATCGAGGTGACCCCTTGGAAGCTGCGAAAAGACCCTGTAGTGATGTTGGCAGCTGATCAATCTTTCTCAATGTTTGGACATGTAACTGAGTGGTAAACCTCTGTGGAAGTATGTGCTTCAATGGCACTGGAATAGAGGTCCCAACATGATGCAAGTCTTGCAACAAACATGAGCACTCAGCACCACGATCCAAAAACATAGACGTGCCACACAGTGCTCCATCATCATGGTGATCCAACAGATCTTCAAACAGAAAGTTCTGTCTCATTTTCTTCCATGGAGCAATTTGCGTGAAATGTGCAGTGAATGAACACAAGCGTGAAGGTAATACCCTCCACTGTGGATCTGACCAAAGCTTCCCTTCTCTCTTGAAGGGATGCTGAGGTTCCATCAAATCGAAATCATCGTCATGATTGTAATACACACGCAGGTCTTTGATAGAAGGATCACAATGACAGTAGTTGGTCATGTCCAAATGGATACAACCAATGTGATATTTGATTCTGTCCTTTTGATGTTTCTTCCAAGTCAAGAACTGAGAAAATCCTGAATCAGGTGGAGTGATCACCAAGAAACCTTTTCCTCGATCAAGCTGCCATTTCATCACATCAAGGCAGAACTTGTAAACCGATTACTTCCAGGAATTTGATGAAGGATTTGTGATCGACACGTATTCAGGATCAAGCTTCTCAAGTTGTTGTCAAACTTGGTATTGCTAGGTTTTTCTGTTGAAACTCCAACCATGCTTATGGTCAATAGGTTCACCAACCTTCATGTTCAATCGTGACATGTGCCAACTAAGACCAGTGTTGCAGCTAAAGAGTTCCACAACATCACACTTGCCAGTTTGACAGAACCAGTGTCTTTGCTCGAAAAAGTAAGCCTCAGCATATTTAGCTATGTCTGGTTCATAGTCATGTCCATCTTCAACTGCAAGTGGGACAGGATCTGGACTGTCAAGTCCAGGAACAGCAACATCATGCCATTCATCATGATCACGCCTGATCTTCGATTGATTGACACGCATATAGTCAATATCTTGCACATAGAAAATACTCGTGCTGCATGAGGGCATTTTTTTAGACACGAGTGTGCTATCTTGCAGATGGTGAAGATCCCGTAGGGATCAAACAGTCAATTGTGAGTTTGACAGCAACAAGGAGTTGTTGCGGGCAATGCTTTGATTTCATCCACTGCTGCCTTTTTCTCAAGTGGTGGGTTGTGGGGGGCAGACAAAAACTTCAGGCTGAAAAACGGCACTGGGGGATTTGCTGTCGGTGTTGCGTAGTTAGCTTAGTGAATGCCATGTGTGATGAGGATAACCTGGATAGGTTAGACAGTGGTGAATATGAAGCCAGTGTTGCTGACAGCGCAGAGCTTGAGGCCTCAGCAGTAGAAAGTGGTGCTTTGCATTTACCTTTTAGAGCAATTGACCTTGTCACTTCTGAACATTCTTTTAATAGGTTCACCAGACAGTCTTCAACTGCCTGTGCTGCAGAAGGATCGACTGAGCAGGATGGTGCAGAGCCAAGTTTCGGTGACGCACCTACACAAGGTTTGGCAAAGCACAGCGAGCTGGGGCCTTATGATTCCTTGCCGTTTGAGCCTGCAGGATCTGAAAGTGCAGTCCAGTCTGATTTCCATGATGTTGCAACTGAAGAGTCTGTGGAGCTAGTGGATGAGCCGGAGCAGGGACAGCAGGAGCCTGCCAACGTCTTGAGCTCAACAGGTCCGAGTGTGTCACAGTCAGCATGGTCAGAGATGGTTGCAAGCAGTTTTGGACAATTCAGACAACTGGATGACATGTTGCGTTTTCCATGGGAAAAAGGCATCCTGGCTGACATTTTTGATTTTCAGCAAGACCCGCTTCCTACTTGTCCGGGGCTACCAGAACGCAACGTGCCAAGTGGTGCAGGGACCTCAACAGATTTGCAAGTCCAGGTTCAACGTTTTCAGATGCCTCGTGAAGCCAAGTACACACACGCTGTTAAAAGTTTACAAGACATGACATACTTCGAATCGAAAACTCAGAAGCTTGATTTAGCCTGTGCACAGTGGCTGAACATTCTGTCATTGGAGTGGAGTGCATCTGGAGTTGGGCCTCAGATTGTGACTGCATTACAACGTGATGCAACTGGAGCTGACGCTATTACAATTTTGAAATCATGCTTTGGAGTCAAGAGCCCGTCAACCCTGCTGAAGAGGGCTGGTGCTTTTCGCAAGTACATTAGCTGGTTTGACAAGGTAGGCATGGGAGGCGATATTCATTTGAGGCAACTGCCTCTGGATGAAGAGATGGTCTGGCAATATTTTGGATGGCTGCGACAACAGAGACAGATTGCAGTCAAAGGTTTCACAATTCCTGGTTCCTTTCTGGAGGCAGTGCGTTTCACCAAGTTCACCCTGGATTTGATAGGCACAGATGCCATTCTGGGATCAAAGCGCTTGTTAGGTTTTGCTGCCCTGGAAAAACAGGCCATGGGCCCTAGCCGACAAGCGCCAGGCATGGAAGTGGAGCACATCAGAAAGCTTCATGACATTTTGGCCAGCAATGCAAACATCATTGACAGATTGGGAGCTGGCTGCTTTTTGATTTGTGTTTACGGCCGTGCACGATGGTCAGACTTGCGTTTTATTGAGAAGACCGAGATTGAGGAAAATGAGTGTATCACCTTTTATACAACTGAGCACAAAACAGCAGCAGTTGGCCTTAGAAGGCAACAGTTCCTTCCACTGGTAGTGCCCTGGGAAGGGATTGTGACAGAAGATTGGTTGCAGACGTTCTTGAAGGTCTATGCACAGGTTGGTCTAGACATCAATCGTCGCCCTCTTGGACCATTACTGCCGGCGCCTCGTTTGGATGGGTCCTTTTGCGCAAGACCCCTCTCGACATCAGAAGCTGCAGATTGGCTACGTGCACTGTTACATGGAACAAAGCAATCTGAAAGTTTCCGCAGTCATTCAATGAAGGCCACACTCTTGGGATGGTGTGCACGTGCTGGATTGGACAAGGAATGTCGTGCCGTTTTGGGCCACCATTGCAGTGCCCTAAACGGTTCAGAGGTGATTTACAGCAGACAGCTTCAGATCAGGGCCCTCCGCAAGTTAGGGCACATCTTGAGACGAGTCCGGTCTGGACTGTCGTTGGAAGATGAAGCGATGCGTGAATTTGGGCTGATTCGGACTCCTATGCCTGCAACACCCACATGTGCTGCAAGAACGCCTCTGGGGCCCACAGCCGTCACAGTGGCAGTGTCCCATCAACCTGCCCAGACACAGGGCATGGACGCAGTCACAGAAGCCGTCCAGGCTGCAGTGGCTATGGAGGAACAGCAAAGTGTCAAGGAAGAGGACTTGGACTCTTCCCTCGTGGAGTCAGCCGCTGACAAGCTGACACTCTTTCCAGTGGAGTTGGTTGCTGCTGGAGTCGTTGAGATAGAGTCGTCTTCTGGGAGTGATAGCAGTAGCTCTAGCACTGAAAGCGATAGTTCAAGCACCGTGCCGGTGGCCAACGACTCGCTTGTCAGGTACACTGAAGAGGTACCGCCAGGTCAAGAATTTTTCAAGCATTGCAAGAGTGGCATAGTTCATTGTTGCAAGTCAAATGAACTCCCTTCAAGATGCAAGTTGAGCATGGGTGCAAACTTCAAGAAACTGGATCGTAAGTTTCACTTCAAGTATCCCAAGTGTTTGCGCTGCTTTCCAAAGGACAGCGACAGGATACGCAGCGTTCAGCAGATGGCTGACAACCTGGATGCCTTTCTCAAGAAAGCACGGTCCTCAGCTAGTGACTAACATGTCATGTTCATTTGTGCCAAAGGGCAAGACAACGCCCAAAGGGGCAGTGTTCCGAAAGCGGAAAAGGCTGAAGTAGCCTGATTGTTGTGCAGAAAGCTGCGTTGGTTTGAGTTGTGTGATCAACACAAGATTTGGCAGGAAGCTGCATGTCACAGAAAGCTGTTCTAAGAGCCGGGTTGCAAAGGCACTTCATTAGAGGCACTCATGTTTATTTCGTTTGTGTTGAGCCTTTTTTGGCCGAGACAGGAAAGCTTGACAAGACACAAAGGTGTTGAGAGTTGAAAGCATCATGCAACAAACAAGTTTCACTAAGGTCCAATTGGTATTGTTGAGCGTTTGCCACCTTTTGCTTTGCAACCTTAGGATTTTCAGAGCGCTGCCTGGAGTTCAGACACTAAGGAGTAATTTTGGCAATGATCAGGACATTGGACGCTGAGTTTTGTGATTAAAGTTTTGACTGCTTGCAAATTCTTTCGAATTTTTTCTTTTAGGAGTTGCGGTTTGAAGCCATGACATCTCTCATAGATAGTGCTGCACAGTACGAGAGTCAGTTGAAGGAAGCAGGACTGCCTGCCAGACTGATAGATGATTTGAAGGCTCATGGTGTTTGTACACTTGCCCAGTTGGCTTTTAGCGTTGGACAGCCAGGTCAACCAATTTTAGATGCTAGCATTGAGCAGCTTGTTCAAAATGCTACAGGGCGAGCGCCTACACTGCAGGAAAGTTCATGCATCAAAAGGGTGGCATTTGAGGCGCAGACTTACTTGACTGCAACACTTCGTATGGCAGTTGATCGTTCCGAAGACTCCTTACCTAGGAAGATTCCTTTTGCAGAGCGACAGACAAGAATGGAGGCCTTGAAGAATGCCCTCTTGGGCATCAGCGTGGCAGGCGAGCATGAGCCTGCACACAGCTTGCTTGATCGCGCTTGTGCAATTTACGAGACAAACAGCCTCAAGTACCTTGACTTGGCCAGCTGCGTTTCTAGAGCCCTAGAGGTTCAGGGAACAACCAAGAACCGAGAGTTGACTTTGGAACGAGGGTCGCTAGTTATGAAGAACACTGATGACAAGTTGCAAAGCGCTACAGACTCAGAGATCAAG